CACTCCCCAGATGGCTACAGCAGCAAGGGGGAGGCTGAAGCCAGGAGCCAGGAACTGCAGACTAGTCTCCTATGTGGATGGCAAAAGACATCTCCTGCCTTTCCAGGGGCATTAGCAGAAGCTGGGTTGGAAGCAGAGCAGCTGAGACTCAAAGTGGCACCCTGGTATGGGATGCAGGCATTACAAATAGAGACTTAACCCACTGTACCGCAAGGCCTGCCCCTTGTTTGGATAGCTTTTGAAATGGTTATTCCAGATGTTATCCTAGATACATTGTACTAGCTTCTCAGCATCTACTGGTGCTTTTACCAGTTGAAGTATAGAAATCATACCACGTTTTATATCCATCTCCTTATAACTCCCTTATTTATAATTGTCTTAAATATTTCCTCTACATAATAGTTAAAACCAAGGATAAAATTTTTACTTAGTTGTCATACATAACTTAGAAAAACTCAAAAGAAATGAAACCTTGTTATATTTAATGCAAATTTTTAGTTACCTTTTATCCTTTCTAATGTTCCAACATTCTGTTTCTTATTGTTTCTTCTCTGTTTAAGAATTTCCTTTAAGCATTCTTTTAGGGTAGGTCTGTTGGTGACATACTCTCTGTCTTGGTTAGGATTTCTTTGTGTTTATCCTGGTTAGGATTTGCTCAGCTTCTTGATTCTGTTAGTTTCTATCTCTCCAAATTTGGGAATTTTTCATCTGGTATTAAATTGAGTAGTATTTCCGACCCATCTTTGTCTTCTCTTTGCTGCACCGTGATGATGCAAATGTTGCATCTTGTTATAGTCCCCTACACCCCTAAGGATCTGTTCATTTCATGTCAGTCTGTTTTCTCTGCTGATCAGTAAGGTAATTTATATTGATCTGTCTTCAGCTCACTGTTTCTTTTCTCCATCCCCTCCTTTCTGTTGTTGCTCATCCACTGACTTTTCTTTCTTTTGCCTATGCAATACACTGACCTTTTTGTTGCAATTATTGTATTGCATTTCTAAATTCTAAAATGTTTGTTGATTGTATCTTCAGTTCTTTGGGGGACTTGTAAAATTTTTTCATTTAGATCAGTTTATAATTTCCTGCTGAAACATTTTTATCACAACTGCTTTAAAATCTTTAAATTTTTTTTTTCTTTTTGAGAGGCCTAGATTGCCTATCTGCTGATTTATTCTCCAGATGTCCACAACAGCCATGCTTGGGCCAGCTGAATATAGCAGTCAGGAACTCCATTCCAGTGTCTATGGATGGTAATAACCCAAGCACTTAAGCTCTCACCTGCTGCCTCCCAGGATATACATTAGCAGGAAGCTAGATCAAAAGGAGGTAGTTAGGACCGGAACCAGCACTCTGATGCGGGATGTGGATGTCCTGTGTAGCTACTTTACTTTTGAACATTGCCCCAACCTCCAAACCCCATGACTACTTTAAAGTATTTAACAGAAAATTTTTAAGATCTCGGTCATTTTTTTTTTTAATATTTAGTTTATTTACTTGAAAGAGTTACAGAGAGAGGTGAGACAGAGGTCCTCCATCTGCTGGTTCACTCCCCAGATGCCTGCAACAGCCAGAGCTGAGCCAATTAGAAGCCAGGAGCCAAGAGCCTCTTCTAGGTCCCCCACACGGGCGCAGGGGCCCAAGGACTTGGGCCATCTTGAACTGCTTTCCCAGGCCACAGCAGAGAGCTGGATCGAAGAGGAGCAACCAGGACTCGAACCAGCACACACATGGGATGCTGGTGCCCCGGGCCAGGTCTTTAACCTGCTGCGCCACAGCGCCTGCCCTAAGATCTCTGTCATCTTGATATTGGCATCTATTGATTATTCTTTGTGCCCTCCACCTTCCAGTTTGAGATCTTTCTGATTCTTGCCGTTTTCCAGTAGTGACAAGTAATTTTTCAGTTGAATCTTGGATATTTTCATATTCTGTTCAAGAAATCTGGATCTTATTTAAACCTTACCCATTTTAGTTGGCCTTGTCTGATAATGTGTTGGTTGGGGAACGCAAGGCACTATGTCATTACTGCCTGGAGGACATAAAAGTTCAGGCATCCAACTTTGCTTCCATTGGCACTGAAACTGGGACAGTCGAAGCTCCCTGCTCAGCCCTTGCTGGTTGGGTGGGGCTTAGTGAGGTGCTTAGCTGTAGTAATTCATTGTCTACAAGTTTTCTGTCTTCCTAGGCTCTCCTTTTCGTTCTTTTGGCCACAAAGAGCAGGCCTTTATTGAGGCTTTTTTGTTTACTGGTTTACTCACCTTGGTGTTTCCAGCTTCTTCAACTCCAAGGCTAGAATATATGAGGGCAAAGGAAAATCCAGGGGTTTAACTCCGTGTCACTTTTTGTGTCCCACGATCTCTGGCAAATTTATCTTCTTCCTTTGTTTTCTGGGTTTTTAGTTTGCTAGTGGAAAGAATAGGAAAAAAAATATCTATTTGGTCTTCTCAGAAAGGAAAGTCATTCTCACTATTGACTGGGTGGACTGTAGTGTGCTGTACAAAAATACCAGTGTGTCAGACAAAAGAGCATTGCAGAGTATATATCCACCGTATACAGAGAGCAAGTGAGCCAGGTATACCCCTAACACACCATCTCATCTGTGTGACAACACTGACCTGGAGCATTGCAGAGTATGTATCCACTGTATACAGAGAGCAAGTGAGCCAGGTATACCACTAACAAACATCTCCTCTGTGTGACAACACTGACCTGGAGCATTCCAGGGGCGACTTCTGTTCTTGTGGGAAAACAGAAAAAATACAGTAGACTCTGTCCTCTGTAATTGGGACAAGACAATTTAGAACAATATAACTTGAGAGAAATGCTAAATTGATCTGGAGTCTGTCAGGAGAAAAAGGAGAATTAGTCATTAGTGAGTATGTTCAGGTTATAAATTGGATCTACTTCTTTCAGTTTTGTAACTGAAAAGTTCTGTTAGGTTCAGTGCATCATGCAAGCTTACCATGTTTAATTCAGTCATTCATTTGAAGCCTACCATGTGCCAGGCCTCTGTGCTTTGAACTAGAATATGAGTATATTCAGCCCTCTGAATCTACAAGTTCCACTTCTATGGATTCAGCCAACCAGAGATTGAAACTAGGAAAAAGAGAAAAAATGAAACTCAGTCTGTACTAAAAATTTTTTCCTTTCATTATTTCCCAAACAATATACCACATCTATTTATATAACATTGACATTGCATTTGGTATTATAACTAATCTAGAGATAATTTAAAGTATTTGGGAGTCTGTGTGTGAGATATTTGCTAATACTCCATTTTATATAAGGAACTTGAACATCTGCAGATTTTGGAACTTGAGTATCCACAGGGTTAGAGGGGTGGCAGTGGTCTTGGAACTGGTTCTCTACAGATGCCAAGGAGTGACTATATTAGTAAAATATATTCCCTTACTCTGAGGAGCTCTCAGATTTATTTGCAGGCAAGGGTGGGAGGCAGATATAAGAAGGCAAACCCTTAAATTACAACTGCATAGTAATAGGTGTTATGTTAATAGAAATTAGGTTCATACAGAAGAGTAGAAGATTAGTCTTGATTAGGGTCAAAGAAGACTGCGGAGAGATGGTGACATTTCATGTTGAGAGGATAACTAAAAATACAGAAAAGAAATGGGCTGGAGAGGAGATCTCATGCAGAGGAAAATGAGTAAGGGAGTATCACAGAGCACATAGGACATAGGGGTTCATTGAATTTCCAGTGTAACAGGGTATATAACTTCATACATTTGTCATGAACACAACTGGTTATAATAAACAGATAATAACAGTCATTTATTATGAGGTATTATGTGCTATATATAATTGTATATCCTATACTTCTTATGATCAGTAACACCTCAGGTTAGTTTACACCAGCATCATAAACATGAATAATTCCATGTGCTATGAAGTGGCAATGCCAACAGCTGTGGCATTACTGTTATGGGAATTTTGCAGCTTCATTGTTGTATGAAACCACTGTTGATACGGTTTAGATATGGTTTGTCCCTGCTAAGGGTTCATTCTTGATTCCAGGTGCGATGATAGGACCTTTAAGAGGTAAGGGCCTAATAGGAAGTTATTATTAAGTCATTGAGAGCAGTTACCCCAGAAGGAATTGATGGTAGTTCTTGTGAGACCCTCATTAGTTCTCAGGAGAGGATTTTATAAAAGAGCAAGTCTGTCCCTCCTCCTTCCTGTATAGCCTTGTCGCCTTCCTTTACACATTCACCTCATGATGCCACATAGCTCTCAATAGAGTTGGTATCTTGCTCTTTGGACTTTCAGTCTCCAGAAACTGTGAACTAAAATAAGCCTCTCTCGTTATTGAAACAAAAATTTGATTAATTGACCTAAATGTTATTATGTGGTACCCTATAATATTTGTAATTGTGCTAGGTTGTGGTACATTCAATAAATGGTAAATAATCAGTTCTTCATTGAGATACTGTGTACATGCGTGTGTCTAACTTTTGACTTTGAAAACATTTTCAAGTAAACTTGAATGAGTTTTGCACAGAGGAAACATGAAGTTGAGTCCCTTTGAAGTTCCAACCAGCTAGCATAGAGTTTATTTATCTGGTGATTACTCTCTTACAGCAAAAAGAATTGTATCATTATTTGCAGGGTGGGGGGGCAGTTTTATTTTAATTTGAAAGTTTTTCCACATATACCTCTGTGCTAATCAGCAGAGGGAGAGATGGAGCCTTATATGACAGTGTATGTGAACTTGATGCTCCTACTTGACTACTAATAGTTTCCTTTTCAAATTTTGTGAAATTTAAATTCTCTCTGGACGAGATTAAATGAAAATAATGTTTTTAGTTTCTATTGAGCTATGTATAGTGTGTGTGTGATCTATTAGAGTTTATATTGAGCTGTTGATATATTTATAATGAGCCTGTATTTGAGACTGTATACTTAGAACATTTTTAGGAAAATGCTCTTGATCATTTTTGATATTATGGTCCTGGAGTTAATATCTTTTTTTTTCCCTTTTATTACAGATGGAGTCCGGTGGTACGGTTTTGAGTACCAACTGGTCTGATGTAGGTAAAAGAAAAGTTGAAATCAATCCTCCTGATGATATGGAATGGAAAAAGTACTAAATAAATTAACTTGACACCACTATATTGCATACATTCACCTAATGCCCATTGTGTGTTGATACTGCATTCTTAAATTTTGAACACTGAGTATTTTTTTGAAAGATTATACCTCTTTACCTCTTTGTGCATTAGAAATTATTTCCCTTCAAGTGTTCTAAGAGTCTAATGAAGAAAGATCAAATTTTTATCACTTATGTCCTTAAGGATTTTAGATATGCTGAACTGAATGAAGTATCATTTGCTACTAGATAGATAGTTCTATTTAGTTGTGGGAGTGGAGAGATCTTCAATGGCATATCTCGGGTTATTGCCTTATTTTTGATGCAGTATTCTGTAATTTATTAGACCAGGCAACTTTGGATGAGCATAAAATTTTCAACTTCAGTGTTATATTGTGTTTGCTTTTAAATGAAGTTGTAAATATAATTTTTCTATGAAGAAGTTTGGTTTACTTACCTTTGTCTTTCAGTTTTTAATGAGAACCTTGAGAAATTATTTATCACAAGGAATTCTCGTTTATTATTTTTTTAATGGGAGGTATTTATAATTTGTAATTGCACTGAGATTTTGGTCCTTACCTCCCAAATTCTTGTATAAAATATGCTGCAAATTTAGTTGTGCTGATGTTAATCTGTGAAGCTGGGACAAAGAAAGATCTAGGAAAGCATAACTCCACTTTCTGCTGCTTTTGCTACAGCAGGATTCCAGTACTAGTGGGCTGGGTGTTGTGTTTTGTTTCTTTCTTGGAAAATCTCTGCTCACACATTTCTATGATTGTCTTGTTTTCAGTGGTTTATACTAGCTACTGTGAGAATAAGTATGTATCCACATGGATACTTAAGAAAGTTTGCAGGAAAATTTAATTAAGAGATAAGTTTATTTTGACCCATGCCAGTTTTTTTCATAATGCCTGTTTTCCATGAAAAACACTATGCATCAATTTCAAAATATTTGCAACAAAATGGACCTTTTAATTCCATCTTTCCACTTTTTGAAGTACCCTCATTTATTACTTATACTGTGCCTAGAATATATAGATAACATAGGAAGAAACAAACTAAAAGACATGATCATTAACTCCAAAAATTAACATTCTTGAAGGGATTATGGAATGGTTGAATGCTCAACTAAGTATAATTTTGAGACAGAAAAAAAGTGGCCTGTGATTAAAATTATTTACAGCTTTAAGCTCTTGTAAATTATAGGCAGTGGGTGCCCTATGGATCTGACTTCTCTTTCTGGCCATAGTTTTCTCACCTTTGTGTCCCAGAAGTTGATCTCTGTTACATCATCACATTTTGTGATGAGGCACTATTGTGTACACAGAGCTGAGGGTAGGGTGCATGGGAAACAAGTTAGCTATTTTCAGCCTCCCACAGAGTCCTTTGATCTGAGATACAGCGGAGTTCATAAGAAAAGTGACAGTGGGCTGATGTTTTCTTAGTGCCCACACCTGTTGTTACAGCTTGTTTAAGCCTGCTGGGGTATTCACTTGTTCTTCTACCCACTTAGAGCTGAAAAGCTGCCTTTTTGATTCTTGAACACTGAAGGGAAAAGCGAAATTAAATTCTTGCTTGCATGGATTTCTAGAATATTCTCCAGAGGAAAACAAGATAGTGATTTTTGTATTCTCTGTGTTAAATGTTCTCAGAACCATTAATCCTGAGGAGGAGGAAGGCAGTTGCTTCAGAGGCAACAAGATGAGAGCAGACAACACTGGAGACAAGAATTCTTAGTTCTAGAACATTTCTGTCACTAGCTTTATAATCTTCATTAGGTCTTGGCCTTTGTATGTGTTTACTCCTTTATCTGTAAATCAGTAGGGTCTGAGAATTATAGTCTGCAAGTCTAAATAAGGAAATCTTTAGAAGTTATTATAATACTAGGGTTTTTTTTCCAAGAAATTTCTAGTATTATTTTTGCTCGTACTTTAAAGGGTACATTATTTGGAGTATACTTACCTGTTGGCTAGATTTGCTTAGTGTTAGGGGATTCAAGGTTTTGCTGATGTAAATGGTGTTCCTAATATGCCTGATTAAAAGCATTAGAAAATTAAACCTGGTCTAAATATGTTAGATTTATAGGTCATGGAAATTTTGAAAAGTAGGCTAGACAGCTACCGAAAAGTGTCACTCTGAAGTACTGCTTCTATTTTGACTTTCTAGATAATGTAAACATAGAAGCCTCCAGAAATTTAAGAAATTTGATTTTAATTAAGAGCCTCTCTTTTTTGGTAAATATTTTGTTTATTTATTTGAGAGGCAGAACTACAGACAGATGGGGGAGGGACAGAAAGGTCCTCCATCCATTGGTTCACTCCTCAAATGGCTGCAACAGCCTGGCGCTGGGCTGATCCTAAGCCAGGATCCAGGAGCCTCCTCTGGGTCTCCCATACGGGTGCAGGGGCCCAAGCATTTGGGCCACCCTCCACTGCCCTCCCAGGCCTTTGCAGAGAGATGGAAAGAAGAGCAGCCGGGACACAAACCAGCGCCCTCCACAGGGGATGCAGGTGCCACAGGCGGAAGCCCAGCCCACCACGCCACAGGGTTGGCCCCAATTAAGAGTATTTTAACTTTGTTTTTATTCTCTATGTTAACATAGATGTTATTTCGTCTCACTTCTTTTTCATACTTCCATTTTTATTTATCAAATTTTGGTTCACTTAGTACTTTAATATTCAGAGTATACATTTTTTTGTGTTGGTGTTTCCTTTTTATGGTTTAGTCCTAAAATTACTTTTCCTCCCCTATTAATCATATAGACTTCATCTGTTCTGATTTCTGTAACAATTTGGACCTTGATGACTTCCCAGAATTCTCTCACTGTCTTCAATGAATCTTTTATAATTTCCTGCCTTGTGTCTTTAATACCCATTCATAGTTGGTTACCAACTAACAAGTCCTGTCTTCAGCATTGGCACTTACTGGTCACTTTTTAAAGATAATTTGGTTTCTTTGTCTTTAAATGAATTGTGGATGGTTTGCATTAATTTTTTTAAATCATCTCATCTTTTAGATCTATTATGTACACTAATGGCAGGACAATGGAAAATATTGTACTGTCTTATCTAAATTTTTTGATGAATTTCAAATATTTAAAGTGTATATATTGCTCTGCTGTTATAAACAGATAAAAATGTTTAATTTAGTTAAATACTTAAATATTTCTTGACATCCTTTCTATTTTACCTTCCTTTTCTCCTTCCCCAGCTACCCACATATTAGGTTAGGAAATGGATCTCTGAGATATACACTGACACAGAGCAAAACTGCACATTAATTCACCATCAACTTGTTGCACTTTAATTCCTTTGGGATTTTCCCTGTCCATACTGGTATGCATTTCTTACTTGTAGCTATTACTGGTATTTCCAAAAATAGGAGATTTGAGTGGCAGCTTTCTGGTCATTTGCTTTTAAATTCTTAACCTTTCTTCTTACTAAATGTGACTCTTATATCAACCAAAATCCTATCCATTGCTAACCCATTAAGGCGAACAGTGGTAGCTAGTACTTTATGGCCCAGGTGTGATTTATGGTTGCTCATTTAAGTAGTGATAGCATCTCATTATTACAGATCAGAAAAATGAAACTAAAATCCTTTCCCTAACGCACATCACTGGGAATGCGATGGAGCTGGAGTTTGAAAGTAGGTCTCCCCCCTTTCTTTTTGCCTCTACACTCTATGTGTAACTCTGACTTTCAAATAAATAAATAAATCTTAAAGAAAAAAAAAAAAAAACTAGGCCTGTCAGACTCCAGCACCTGTTTTTGACGACCAAACCTCTTCACGTGAATAGTTGAATGTGCAAGGAATAATGTTTATTACTGAATCAGCTCTCTGAAAGTTAAGCAGAGAATGTGCAAGTTCAAAGAATTTTAACAGGAAAAGTATATTCCTAAAGATCAAAAATACTCACTTTTTTTATTTTAAAGATTTATTTTATGTATTTGAAAGGTACAGTTACAGAGATCTTCCATCCATAAATGGCCACAATGGCCAGGCCTGGGCCAGGCCAAAGCCAAGAGCCCGGAGCCTCATCTGGATCTCCCACGTGGCCTCAGGGGCCCAAGAACCTGGCCACCCTCCATTGTTCTGCCAGGAGTATCAGCAGGGAGCTGGATCTGAGTGGAGCAACTGGGACTGATATCCACCTGAGATGGTGGTGCCGCATGTGGCAGCCCAAACCACTATGCCACAATAATGTCCCCTGCTGTCACTAAAGCATTATCTTTTTTTTCTTTAAAGATTTATTTATTTATTTATTTTGACAGGTAGAGTTACAGACGTTAAGAGGAAGAGACAAGAGAGAAAGGTCTTCCCTCTGTTGGTTCACCCCACAAATGGCCGCTACGGCCAGCGCTGCGCCAATCTGAAGCCAGGAGCCAGGTGCTTCTCCTGGTCTCCCATGCAGGTGCAGGCGCTCAAGCACTTGGGCCATGCTCCACTGCCTTCCCAGACCACAGCAGAGAGCCAGACTGGAGGAGGAGCAACTGGGACTAGAACCCGGCGCCCATAGGGGATTTTGACGCCACAGGTGGAGGATTAGCCAAGTGAGCCACGGCGCCGGCCCTAAAGCATTATCTTTTAACATCTGAATTTTGAATTAAGAAACACATCTGGCCCCCAAGGGTTTTGAATAAAGAATTATATACCTGTGCATATAAGGTATTACAGATAATACCGGATGATGATTTTTTTTTTAAGATTTATTTATTTGAAAGGCAGAAGCAGAGAGAGACTTCTTCCATCTGCTGGTTCACTCCCCAGATGGCCACAATGGGCAGGGCTGGGCTGATTAGGAGCCAGGACTCGAACTGGCATCCAGATGGGATGCTGGCAGTGCAGGCAGCAGCTTTACCCGCTATGCCACAGCGCACTGACCCCTAATATCAGATGATCTTATTTAGGCTGGGAGATTGCATTCTAGAGAAGGCCATTTGCATCACTTGTTTGGTACTTGAAGATTTGAGGTTCTGTCTGAAAAAAGGATATTAGTTAAAAATGTTAGTATAATTTA